CTCTCCCCTTCTTACGCGTTTCTTTCTCATCGTTGTTTACGCTCCAACCCCTCCTGTCCTCCGGTTCGTGCTCCATTCACCGTTCCGTTCACGCCGCACCTCCATCATTCTTTCTTTCCTCGCGCGGAGTTAATCGCTCCTTCGCGGCTCTTATTTATTCGGCCGCCCCCTTCCCGCCGACGCTTTTAATTCATTGTTTGTGCCGCTTCCGACCTTCTTTCGGCTCCTCCGTTCACCTTGCTCGATCCACTTTCGATAAGCGTGTCGAATGAAAAAGGAGGAGATAGAATATCGATAGGCGAATGCTTTCTCTGTTTTCCGAACGAGATACACTCCTCTTCTTATCTATACTCGTTCTTTAGAGAACGATCTGAATTATAGCATTACGCAACTGATTCCATCTTGTTTATTCAAGCCTTTTCAATTCACTGCCCTCAGTTCATCGAGAACATTTTTCAATTAGAAACAGGATAGACAAGTTGTCGCTGGGCCATATGTTCCCAGGTTTCCAGTAATATTTCAAACGTACAGATAAACCCGGGATCACGGCAAAGAACTTCCGTTGATTAAATTCGCTTCGAAAATTCATTCAATTAACATCGCCGACGAAAACGGTCGACCCGTTGACAGGTTTATATTACTTCTCGCCCCGGATACGCTTTATTGTTTGCTTTGTCGTAAAAATTGCTCGTCGCCGGCCCCTCGACTCCGTTCGCGGGCATAATAAACCCACCCCTTCCGGCGTTCCATTCTTTCTTTCTCCCTTTCTTGCTGAAATCCGCGCCGCGACTCGCATTTCCTCGTGACCCGCTCCTTTGCCCTTTGCTTTCCCGGTTTTCCACGAGAATACCCGCTTCCACTCGCGTCTGACCACCGCGCGGAGAAGTTATTCCCAGCCGCGGGCCCATATTGTGTCTCCTCCGGGCTCGTTTTATCCGGACCCCGCCGGTTTTATCGTCGCGGATTCATTTATCATGTTTAGCTGACCGCGGGGTACTCGTAAACAGGAGCCAGCCACGCTCGGGAATCCGCTCGAGGTGTATAAGTAAGTACATTCCGCGGTGGGAGTTTCCTCGGTGGCTGGAATCCGATCTTCGAGGATAGGGGATGGCTAGATCTCTCCTCAATCCTCGACGCGACTATTCCGGAATGATAAAGTATTCTTTATTCCGTCTTACGGGCAAAATTCTCTTCTTAACCTTTTACCTCTCGTCATTTATTTCGCGTAAACAACATTTCTAACGTCATAGTAAGAACCGTCGCATACAGTTTCGCGCTGTCCTCGTTGAAGCTTGTCGCAGGTACAATGTCGCGGAAAATCCTGCCGTGGCTAAAAGGTTAATTACCGAGTAATCTACACACTCGATTGAACCTAGAGTTTCGTCTTTGGTTCGCCGAATATGATACCGTGACACACGAATAGACGTTCTAATTTCGATCTCCGAGAGACAGCGGCAAGTTACCGAACAAATCGATTAACCAAACAGTACAATCCAACGAAGTTCAGTTTAACAAAGTGAAATTAATCACCAAGGCTCTCCTAAATTCGACGAGATTCTTTAACCCTTTGCACTCGAAAGTTTTTTACTAGAAATATTCAATCTTCTCTGATGAGATACATGTCCTTTGAAACTGATTAATGAGAACACATGTATAAATTAAGAAGGAAAGTTATTTTATTTCAATATTCCATACATTTATGCATCATGCAAAGCTTAATATTATATATAAGACTTCATAATTTTGCAAATCAAATCACAAAAAAAATTTGTCTTGACCCTGCGTAGACCTATCTAGCATTTTAGGGGATAGTCCGTGCTGAAACGGATTTCGCGCGCGTTGTCGCCGAAGAAACATTTATCTGTTCAACGAATAATGCGCCAGGCGTCTTTTTTAGGGGATGCGACGGGAATACAAACCGTAGGAGTGATGATCGCACGGGCCACGACAGGCCGAAGTCTCGCAGCTAGAACGTATCGCTGATCCCCCGGAATAGCGCGCCATTAATTCGGACACTTTTG